CCTCACACAGAGGCAGGAAAAAGGTTTTGTTTGAACTATAACTACCACACATGTTGGCTTCACAAAAGAGGTAACATGCTGGGGTCTAGGTGGGATGGAAGGGCGGCTTAGATCATTCAGGGACCTCTGCGCTTGAGGCTGTTGGTGTCAGGGATGGGGATCAGTGAGGGAATCCAGAGAAATGAGACACCCTTCTATGCTACAGAGCACATTGTTTTCAGAAAACTGGAGGAAGATCAGCATGGCACTGGCCCTAGTCAGGGCAATGAAAGCAGAGGAAATGTAACCTACTCAGCAAAAGCCATGGCAAGTTCTGAGAAGCCAGGAGGACAGAAATGGATCAGGAGCCACAACATGGTGGGACCAAGTCAGAGAAATAGAGGCCCAGGACACTTGCCTGTTCTGAATCAAGAACCACCCAGCCCACGTCTAAACCAATGGGCTCATGATACAGAAAGCCAGAAGCCTGCCCCAGTAGTGAAGACAGCTGCTCATCTAAGTCACTGCAGAATCAAACAAACAAACAACAAGAACAAAAAGCTTCTTTTGCTCTTGCAATAGCATTGGCAAACACTGGTGGAAATGGAAATACATTTCTATTTCAACTATGCAGGCTTCTAGGACATGTTAGAAACATGTTCTTCCTTCTACTCAGCTTGTTTTGAGATTTCAGGAAAAACCGACCAAACTTGTGAGGCATTTAAAAAGGTGTGAACTTATCTACAAAACTGAATTTAATGATGTAAAGTGAAAGAACAAATGTTATCTTTCAGTAAGTAGACTGGGTGTTACCACTCTGCTGCAGAACTATAATATGTATTACCTATCACGACATTTCTCTGAAAAATGTATAGCAGGTGAGAAATCAACTATTAACAACAAAACCCACATGACAGGATTATGCCTCCAATTCAATTCACTTCAAGAAATATTTATTGAGCACTACCCCATGGCAGGTCCTGAGTAAAGAGACAGAAGAGACACAGAGATGCTTCAGATCTGCCCCTGCCTCCCTGCAGGAAGGGTACAATGAGCTCAAGAGTTATAGAGTTCAGAACAAGGAAAGCTCACTGCTCTCTGGGAGGTAGGGCATCAGTGGAGATGTTTTCATGCAGAATTAACATTTTAGTCATGTCTAACAGGGCTGAGAAGTGCAGAGGGTGTTTCCAATTAGCATAGAGTCCAGCTTGACTCCAACTCAGGATCTAAGCAAAGAAGATGTGAAACATGAAGCTAAGCGGTTAACGGATTTTATACTTTCTCTTATTGCCAGTGGAAATCCATTAAAGACTGTTAAATGGGGAAGAGGAGTGATGACAGAGCTGTACTCGGAAATACCGGTATGGGGTGGGTACAGCCTGGGGGTACTCTCGTTGCCCAGGATTGTTGGAATTGTGTTTGGCATTTTATAATAGTTTGTCCCAAGGACTACAGAGACACTGTTGATATTCTACAGGGCAAGTCGCGGACATGAGACTTTACAATGGGTAAAAGCTCTAGTGAACAAGACCTGTTGAGAGATACCAGTAGAAAATCCAGGAGCTGGGAAAGCAATTCAGGAGATGACAACAATCCAGGAAGTAGGTAATGACCAGAGCCAGGGTGGTGGGAGTGGGCATGGAAAAGAAAAGTCAAAGATAAGAGATACTGAAAAGAAGACTGAATCAGAAGTCCTACAGGAGATTGGAAATGTGATGGAGAATGACTAGGCTTTGAGCCTCAGTGAGAGATGATAGGAAAAATTTGACTTTTACAGAAATTCAAGAACAGAGCTCTGAAAATCAGGTCCAAAATTCTGCACTAGCATAACCTCCTCTGACATGCCTCCTCTCACATAGGAGAATCAATGCCCTTCCCACCTTACCCCCTTCTGGGGTCCTGCCTCTGGTTCTTCATTGCTTTATACATGGCATGGCACTTAACTGGTGGCAGGACAGCACTCTCTGCTGTGTCATGTTCTGTCTTCAGTGAGTGGTCCTTGCAATGTTCTTCAACTATACAGTTTTCTGCTCTTTCAAGTGAACAGCAGATATAACAGTGAGTACTCTGAAAGTTCAAATCCCCCTACACTGGTACATCTTTTGGGACCAATCATATGATATCTTCATTGTTTTAGAAATAGGATCTGGCTGCAACCTCGTCACTTTGACAGCTAATTATGGAAAGTATTTTAATTAGAAATTCACAAGCTCCAAACAAAAGAAAAGGAAAGTATAAGCTAGGAGCAAGTGAGCAAGAAACATGAGGAGGACTAGAAGCTGACTTCTTTTAGCTGCAAAGAAACTTCAGGAAACCACCTGGTAGAGGTCAGCTGAAAAATATCTGTGACAAGTGGGAAAACTCCACTTTCATGCCACAAGACACCTGGAATATTTCACTTTTCTCAAGTATGAAATACCCATCAAAGCTACAGTCACCAAAACTGCATGGTACTAGACTAAAAAATAGACAAAAAGATCCATGGAACAGAATGGAGAACCCAGAAATAAAGCCACATAATGACAACGAACTGGTCTTTGACAAAGTACAAAAGTATTTGATAATAGCGCTGGAAAAATAGGATAGCCATACGCAGAAGAATGAAACTTAACCACTATCTCTAGCCATATATAAAAATTAACTCAAGATGGATTAAAAATATAAGACCTAAAACTAAAAATTTGAGGGGAAAAACCTAGGAAAAACACTTTGGATATTAGCCTAGGCAAAGAATTTATAACTAAGCCCCGAAAAGCAACTGCAACAAAAGCAAAAATAAACAAATGAGACTTAACTAAACTAAAAAGCTCCTGTTCAGGCAAAAAAAAATAATCAACAGAGTAAACAGAAAACCTACAGAATAGGAGCAAGTGTTCATAAATTATGTTGATGAAAGACTAATATCCAGAATCTATAAGGAACTAAACACTTCAACAAGAAAAAACAAACAAACAAACAAATAACCTTATCACAAGGTGGGCCAAGGACACGCACAAACATTTTTTCAGAAGACAACATCAAATGGCCAAAAAACATATTTAAAAAAGTTCAACCTCACTATCAGAGAAATGCAAATCAAAACCACAATGAGATACCATCTCATACCAGTCAGAATGGCCCCTATTAAAAAGTCAAAAAATGGCTCGGTGCCTGTGGCTCAAGTGGCTAAGGCACCAGCCACATACACCTAAGCTGGCAGGTTCGAATCCAGCCTGGACCCGCCAAACAACAATGATGGCTGCGACCAAAAAATAGCCGGGCGTTGTGGCGGGCGCCTGTGGTCCCAGCTAGTTGGGAGGCTGAGGCAGGAGACTCACTTGAGCCCAGGAGTTGGAGGTTGCTGTGAGCATGATGCCATGGCACTCTACCCAGGGGGACAGCTTGAGGCTCTGCCTCAAAAAAAATGTCAAAAAACAATAAATGTTGGCAAGGATGCTTAGAAAGGGGAATGCTAATACACCATTGGTGGGAAGGTAAATTAGTACAACCTGCATGGAAACAGTATCAAGATCTCTCAAAGAACTGAAATCAGATCTGCGCTCAATCCAGCAATTCCACTACTGAGTATCTGCCCAAAGGAAAGAAATCATTATATCATAAAGACACCTGCACTCCTATGGTTATCACAGCACAATTCACAGTAGTGAAGATAAGGAATCAACCTACATGTCTATTAACCAATGATCACGTAAAGAAAAAACATGTGTACATTATGGGATGCTACTCAACCATAAAAAAGAATGAATTCATGTCTTTTGGATGTAACTGGAGGCCATTACCTTCAGTGAAATAATTTAGAAAAACAATCAAATACCACACGTTCTCACATATTTATTCATAAGTAAATTATGAAAACATGTGGACACAGAGAATAAAATAATAGACATTGGAGCCTCAGAGGGCCGGAGGAGGGAACAATGAGAGGGGAGCGTAGGACAAGAAATTACCCAACGGGTACTACGGACACTGGTCAGGTAAGGATTACGCAAAAAGCCCAGAGTTTCCCGCTATGTAACAAATCTGCGCAGGTACCCCATATATCTATAAAAATAGGTAATTTTCAAATTTCAGTGCATAATGTTTAATTTTCTGATCAGTTTCTAAACATATCTCTCTAGTGAGAAAATACCTGTGCTGTGGCTGTCGTAAAATAGGCACGTTCACAAACTCGCACTAAAACGAGCCTGGCAGTTTCTCCAAACACAGAGTTACCGTGCGATCTGGCAGTTCTTCTCCTCAGTATGCACATGTCCACCCAAAAACCCACGCAGAAATGTTCATAGCAACGTTATCCATAATGCCCAAAGACCAGAAACAATCCAAATGTTACCATCAGAGGAGTGGATCCATAAAGTGTGATATAGCCACACAATTAAATATTATTCAAGAATAAAAGGAATGAAATACTGATACATTTCACAGTGAACCTTGAAATATCACGCTCCGTGAGAGAAGCCAATCATTTTTTTCAAAAACCCACATATTGTATGATTCTATTGATATGAAATTTCTACAGTCAGCAATCTATAGAGACAGAAAGTGGATTAGTGATTGTCTAGAGCTGAAGAGGCTGGGAGGAAATGTCGGATGACAGCAGATGGGTACAGGGTTTCTTGTGATGAAATGTTCTAAAATTGACTGTGGTGATGGTTGCATAATGCTGCCAGTATACTAAAAATCAGTAAATTAGACACCTTAGCTAGATGAATCATATAGTTTGTGAATTATATCTCCATAAAGATTTTTAAATCACACTAAAATATTTCCTTCAACATGGGATGAAAGCAGAAAGGGTCATTGTGCTTCTTTTATGCCCTTTGTTTTTGTTTCCATTTTCTGCAAAGAAGGTAGATTGTGTGTCTAAATAGCATTCCTGTTTCCTTGTGCATCTGGACTAGCACATGTTCAAAGATCAGACAGCATCCAGGAATGAATGAATGAATGAATGAGCGAACAGAGGGATGCCCAGAATAGTCCTGAGAAGGTGCCTTGGAAAGGCACAGGATAAAAGCAGTACTCACAGGAAGTCCCCGGGGTCCTCGGGGTCCCACCTCTCCTGCAGGCCCCTGTTGGCCCTGTTAGGGGAAACCCAAGTAGAGAAAAAGTTAACACCCCCTGATCACAATGGGTTAGAACTTATGAAAAGGTAACATAACATCTTACCGGTTTGCCTGAATTTCCCAGCTGACCAGGCTTCCCCGGAGCACCTGTAGTACCCTAAAGATAAAAATGCAACATACAAAGTCACTCAGACTCTAAGTAAGCGTAACTATGAAGCTGCCTCACCCAGACTGGGTGTTTCTTATAGTAAATAGTATTACTTGCTTGATTTCACACTGAGAATGTGGGAAGGTATAGAATCTCTTTCTTACTCGACACATCAGAGTCCTTTAGTCCTGTTTGCTAGTCTGAGAAGTATACTGAAGGTCAAATGTCAAAAATCAAAGATTTTTCCTTCTCCACAATATTAGTAATATATACACACCCATTACCATTTCCAACTCCCATACGCTTTCTGTCACCTCACATGGACACCCACTATTAAAGTCATTGAGAATCAAGTCAGCATGAGGGAACAGGAAGTGCTGTTAAAAATAGTCCTGCCAGCAAACTGCAGGGAAAGCTTCTGTCGAGAGATGCCTTCTCCACCATCAATCTCTCAGGGAACATCACTGCTGGAGACGCTGTGGGCCACTATGACTGGGGGGATGTGGCCACATCCTCAAATAGTGACCCATCTCTACATTATTCACATTGTATCTCTTTTATTCTCAAGCGAAGCTACATTTCATCCATTTAATTTTTCCACCGATTGTTTTTAACTCCTTGCCCTCACGTTCTGTGTGGGAATGTGTAAGCACGGGCTGATCGCCATGCGAACAAAATGACACACTTTTTTTTAGTTTAAACTGAATCATCTTAATAGTCACTGCCACAAGTTTTATGGCTTAATAATAGCTTCCTTATTTTAAAGTGGTAAGGAACAATAAAAATTTTATTTGTCTTATACTGGCAAAGGATGACATTTTCATAAAGGAAGTCTAATCAGCAACACTTTGTCAAAGTATTCTTTCTGCAGCTAGGAGGAAAAAATTAGCATTTGAAGCCTTACAGCCTTTACTGTTTGATTTTTCCCTAGTGCCAAATAAAGGCAGTCTGGAAATACTAAAAATTGCAAACAAAATCTATTAATAAACGAAGAAAAATATTAATTTAAATGTTTGACTCTTACCTTTTCACCGGCAACACCCTTGGCGCCAGGGATTCCAGGTACACCCTAAAAGAACGCACAGGGAATCTGGGTTTAATCGCCTCATCTGACAACCCGTGAGATGCCAAGCCCACTGCATACCGCCCAGCAGCTGAGGGAACCTGAAAACCTCAAAGCTTGAATGTGTGGGAGATGCTTCCTGCTCCCCAAACTCTGGACAGTCACATAAAACTACCCACAGTTTAGAGGGCATTACTTCATTGCATCTGGTTTGCTACAGCTGAATACCCTTAAAGCAAAGCCCACCTCTAAAGCAAAGTCAGTTTTCCAGATTAGAGTCCAGTTCCATCTTTAGGTCAACATGAGCTCTAATGGGCAGGACAGAGGTTATAGCATGTAACATGGTTTCATGTACTGAATAGTAAAATGAGGATTCGGACTTTAAGGTAGAAAAATGGAATAGGAGGATGCTGGACTGAATAATGCTGACACTGTATTTTAGAAGGTGTCAGATGTCATAATAGATTGGGGAGGGGAGGCCAATCCTTGATATTACCAAGTATCCTTTACTAACTTGAAACATTTATCTCTACAAAGCCTAGAATACTGGAGCCACAGCTCAGGGGTGGAGCAGTTGACAGCAAATAGCCAAGAATACATATGTCGCAAACTAAATGAACTTGCAGACACATTAATACTATAGGGCAACACCAATTTGAATGATTCAAAATGGCATATAATCCAAAAATGATACATCTCACATTGTTCCCTGAGCATGTTCTCAGCCCTCCTGTGGCTCAACTCTGATAAACGAGAACTGCAGAACTTATTAAAAGTAGAACAAAGTATAAGACACTGGCCCACAGCTCAGGGTTAATGAAAAATATATGTATATATGGAAGCCTGAGCGAACTAAAGGAGAAAAGGGACACAAAACATAAAATTAAAGCTTATTATGTATAATTATCACAGAAATAACAATTCAAGAAAAGTATAAAATGTAAACTACGAAAATATAAAAGTAAAACATCATATCTTTTCCAGACCTTACCACATAATGTAACCTGTCTCTCCCAAAGATTCATATTTTTAAAATAAGGATATAAATCAATAAACTGAAAACATCAAATACTTACTGGTAACCCCTGCAATCCTGCATCGCCAGGAGGCCCAGGTTTCCCTGGTTCACCCTGAAAAAAAAATTCATATCCTTGTATAAGTTACCATATTCCTTCTAAGAAAGAGAGGAACACATCCTTGAACCTGATGAACTGCCGTATTTCTTTTAAGAAAGGGAGAAGGGTAGACCTCTAAGTAAAGAGTGCCCCAACCGCTACCTTACATGAACTTTTATAATGTGAGTAATTTGGGAGAGGAGGATCGGGGAACACAGGACACAAACTCAATCAAAATACACAATTTCATCCACCCTGTTTTATCAACAAGTCAATTTTACTGAGTTCCTAAAACCAAGCAAATAAACTTTTCTAGTTAAGCATTTATATTTGACTTGATTGAAAAAGAAAGAAAGAAGGAAAAACCCGAAGCTGGCTAAATACATCTGGTAATTTAGTAGTGGAAACGCTGTGCTGAGCTGGCGGGGCAGACACAGCCTCATTCACCCTCGCACTAAATTACACAGCTACCTTCGTTCCAGGCATTCCAGGTATCCCGTCACGGCCATCCACACCGGGCAAGCCCTAAAGATACACAAAGAAATAAACTGTCTCTTGGGAAGCGTTACATTCTTCTTCCCTTCATTATTTTCTAAAGTTTTATTGCAAGTCAATGGTACCTTGGAAAGATGTGCTTGATGACGGCCGCTCTGGACTTACCGTGTCTCCTTTGGGCCCTGGGGAGCCAGGAATTCCTCTAGGCCCTTGAGCCCCCTGCAGGAGAGAAGAGAAAGGGCAGACGAGACATATTCGATTATCACAATAGTGAGGACATGTCTAAGAGATAATCATAATCGCCACGCCACCCTGCACTGGAGGACGCTTGTAGACTAATTTGACTCACTCTGTCTCCCTTGGGACCTGCTTCTCCCGGAGGCCCTCGCTGTCCCTGATCCCCCTGTATGAAAATTAAATGTTGTTAATATAAGCAAAAGGTATTTACTGATATACTTTTGAAAAATTAGAAAGTATACCCACATTATCTAACCATTGCTCTAAGAAATCTTTTTATAAAAATGATATCTTAAAAACTGATATTGCTATAGAGCTGCTAATTGAGACTTCCGTATCTTCTGTTTTGAGCACATGACGCTTCTGTGCTCTTTGGATATACACCTGCATAGGGTGCCAAAAAACGTATACACATTTTTAAGAAAGGGAAAACCATATTAAAATTATAATATTCAAATCACGTTTGACTTCTGCAATTATAAAAGATACAAGCTACACCATACAAGATAACGTGTTATCAGTATATATTGAGATTACAATGTTAATACTTTTTTTTCCTTTATTAAAATGTGTATACATTTTTTGGACACCATGGTATAATAAAATTAAGATCCCTGTTGCACATAGTGACATCAGTCACTACATCTACATATCAGCTAAACTCATTAACTGTTACAGTGGGTTGAGGTTTGGATTAGTTGCCAATTTTTTCTCCATATCATTTAATTTCTAAGTTACTGCTAATGGTTTCTGTCAAAATCATCCAGCTACTGTTGATACATGGCAGGTGGTAACAGACAACAGGAAGTATCTTCCTAAAATACAGCTTTTGTCAAATCACTTAATAACTCTGCAACCTCAAATGTCTCTTTATTGGTACCAGATCAGTTCAAATAGCTCAGATTGCCATTAGGATTCTCCATAAGGTGGTTCAAACTTTACTTATTCAATCTTATCGTCTCAATACAAACTTTCCACTCCAGGCCATGGCAGTCCCCATGAAGCACTAACACCCCCAACCCCACCCACCGTGACCCCCTTGCACCTTGCTGCCTTTCCTGCCCAGAACGGCCTCCCAGACCAGCCCCCCTCCTGTTACCCCATCACGTGCTCTACCACTTAATCATCCAGTTTATCCCCGAGTTACATTCTACCTTTCCCACCGAATCATAGGTCCTTGATAGTTGAAAATTCGAGTTTACTTATATTTTTTACATGGTATAGATGATTACTAATAGATGGCTTTTATATCTGTTTCTCTCCAAAAAAAGATACAGGGAGGGAGCCTATCATAATGATGCCTGTATCTATGGCAACCAAAAGATGGAATGATGAAATCAGACATCATACAAAAGGAAAAGGATAAAACTTCCTAGGAACTAGAAATGTGATAGTTTCTGAGACTCTAAGCATCCTGACAGCCAAAGGGAAGGCAAAGGCAACATGATTCCTCAACAATCTGACTACAGCTCTACGGAGAAAAACAATCAAGTCAGAAGAACATGTCTCTGTGTGCAAGAAAGAGAGATGTTTGTCTTAATTTTAAAAAGTTAAAAATAAATATAAAAACTACTCCCTATTTTTTCACTTTAATTATTCACATGTAAAAGATACTGTTAAACACACACACACACACACACACACACAAAGCAAAAATATTATCATTGCTAAAAAAATCTATCATTGGGTTTTGCCAAAGTAAAACCACTTACAGGTGCACCAGGAAGGCCCTGAGGCCCAGGTTCTCCATCTAAGCCTCGAGCACCCTGCGTAAAAACAAGACAAAGAAATAAAATTAAAACGAGCCACGTATGTTACAGGGCATGTCCATCTTTCTAAAGAAATTGAATAGCCAGGTGAAAGGAGGTTTTGTGTTTATTACTCTATTTGTCGGTAAGCCCTGAGAAGCTTTTACTCAGACACCTCAGATACGAAAACACTAGTTTACATCTAATCCTGGCTGTAACAGTACTGGTACATACACATAATTTTTAATACCACTCCAGATATTTTAAGTAACCTCTGTCTCTGTTCTTAATGATAGACATGAACTGAACATGGGTACTTATTCAATAGATTGGTAAATCTACTAGAGGAGGTCTGCCAGCCTCTCTCCAGACTTCTCAGGAATGTCTACAGAAATTCATTCATGGTGAAACCACAGAGCTTCCAAGCTCTGTTGGGACTTGTAGAATCCTGGATCCCCCACCAAGATCTAGAGGTCCAGCCATGTGATTCAGATGAGTTGTTGAAAGGACCTGAGCATCCCTCTCCCGTCCTGGATAGATGTTAGGTTTGGTTTGTGTAAAGTGACCAGCCTTCTCAACAATGGATCCAGTCTACCAAGTGACAGCATCAGAACTACCCAGAGCTTGATAAATCTAATTACCTTGAAATAATCTCTGACTTGGCTACATGTTGTGCACATCACCTCTTTTATTTTCATTATGAGAATTGTAATGTGATTTTAAAATGAAAGTACACTTCTCTCTACAAAATATAGCCCCCCTTTTTAGATCTTTTTCTCATCTCCTAAGTGGATAAGGAGGTGTACAGACAAAACTGAACGGTCTCCTAATGAACCAGGCTGAGGAAGGGAGATGATGGAGCAGATGGAAAATAGTCAAAAGAACACTGGGTAGATGTCAAGCCAAGAAAACCAGGTGGACAGCACCTGTAGTAAGAATTAAAATTAGAAAATCTTTGATGGGAGGTTCAGACACAGGTAGAATGAAAGAATACAACTGAGGCAGTGGCACCACAGAGCCTTGGAATTCTTTGCTTGCTAAGACCAGCGCCGAGCAGAAGGCATTTTCCATTCACCAGGGAAGAGGAGATTTGGAGGACATGAAAAAGACCTTGAATTTATCATTCACCTTGCATTATGAGAGCAGAGCCAGCCTTTGCATTATAGAAATGGCTTTGATGCACTCAACCCTTCCCCTCTCTCTCTGCTGTTCAGCGTGAGCTCAGACCCAAACAGCTGTTACTAGGTAACCACTCCACGGGTCTGAGTTCACGAGAAGAGCTTGAAGAGCTTTATTTTTTCTTCCTTTTTCCTTTCAAGCAATTTGGCAGAAATCAGGGGAAATGAGAAATTTTAACCAAATAGAAAAAATCTCCGATGAAGAGCGTATCAAGAACAGTAACTGGCTTCAAAGTGAGGGGCCACATGCTTTAGTGGTGATTAAAATCCAGAAAAAGTGAAGGCTCAGGCATCAGCAGCTTCAAAATAAATGGGGTTTATTATTTCATAAACCAAGAGATGCATACTGAATATTACTTAAGGTTAACATGAATATAGAAATATCAAAGAATATGTTTTTACAGATACAAATTTTTTAGGAAAAATATTCTAGAGAAGGAGGGAGAGGAAAGCAGGCGGAATGAGAATACTCAGATGAGACAAAGAGCCTGAAAAAAAACAATGAAATTAAAAGAAAGAATTATAAGTAAGCCAGATCTTTGTATTCACAAAAATGTACAGCTTAAAAAAAAAAGATTTAATTTCATTTATTGAACATCTATATTGTACAACTTATTGTTTATAAACAGCGCTATGGGGCTGGGTGGGACTGACACAGATTAGCCATCAAGGTTCTAAGGAGAATGAGGGCAGGGTCAGTAGTGGTAGTAGACCAAGATGCGTTTTGCATTTTCTGGGGCCTACAGATGGACCTCGTGCCCCAGAGAGTGTCCTGCCTTCTCCCTCCTCTCCCTTTCTGCTGTCCCTGTCTTTGTCTCAATTGCCCAGAGGCACTCTGGGCACTGTCAGTGTTAATCAGTGCTGACGACCCATAGGGGTAAAGAGATAGAAGATATAACCACTTACTCTAATTGACCCAAGATAATTTAAAATATATAATACATAAGTGCTTACAACAGAAATGGGAGCATCAAATAAAAAGTCACAGTGCTGAAGATAAATTATTTTTAAACGGCCAAAATTTGAAATACTTAATGCATGTTGATGTTATGGCATCATCATCGTCATCATCTTACCTTTTCCCCTTTATCCCCCACTATGCCGGTGATGCCTCTCAAACCTTGAGCTCCCTGGAAACATAAAAAAGAAATGTGAATTATTTTAATTAAGCAGTTTTTTCTTTTAAAGTTCATCATAAAAGCTGATCCAGGAGAAGGTTTTATCATAACCAAAGGTAACACTCATAACTAGCCACTTAATATGAACAAACTTTTCTAATTTAGAGAGGAAGTCCGAGGGGAATTCTTCTGATGGTAAAATGTTTCTATAAAGTTCTGAAGACTTACACAAAACAGGAGTTAGCAGAATCACTCAGGACAAAAATAGCCAATATCAGCATAAGAGAAATTATCATCACATATTTTGACTTATCTCTTAACCCATATACAGAGCTGCCATTCCTACCCCTTCCTGACTTATAACTCCTTGGCATGTGAAATGACTTGTAAACCTTGGAATAATTTTTCCCCACCCACATATGCCTTCAAAGACAGTAAGTTACCAAGTTAGCCCTTAAAAGCTTATGAGCTAGAAATGGGGCTGGAGTCTCCACCAATCCCTTGTTATCACTGTACATTATACCATTTCTATGATAACAGGCCTTCTGAGTTCCCAGTTGGGGCAGTAGAAACTCATCCCACCCCATTTCAGGCACAGGAGTGGGTGCCCCTAAAACTGAGGTGGGAGGCATGATTTCCAAGATCCCTTTCAGTACTAAAATGTTGCCATTCCCGATTCTCTTGCTCCACAGCAGTTCTCCAGAAATGGATCCTGCAAGGCTGAATTTGTGCAGTCCCTTGGGGGAACTTCTACATGGAAGCTCCATTAGGAGAGTGGGATAGCTACTTGTGGACAACTTGCTAACTATCCACATCAGCTTAAGATAAAGTAGCTCTAGGTCAATCATTCCCCTCATCTCCTCATTTGAAGAAAACGGAGCAAGTTCATGACCAAGTATTCATCCAGGTCAGTCACAAATCCTATGTAGATCACTCAGTAATGACCTGAAATTCAAAGGCACAGGATGATCCAGCTTAAGATACAGCCACTTAGGCTGTCAAGCAAGACGTGGCCATGTCGGATTAAAGCCTCTCTTTCTTGTGCAGCTCATTTACTGATGCTAAAGGTAATTTTACAAGAAGAATCTTTAAAAAAATTGAGTCCGGGCGGCACCTATGGCTCAAAGGAGTAGGGCACCAGGCCCATATGCTGGAGGTGGTGGGTTCAGACACAGCCCCAATCAAAAGCTGCAAAAAAAAAAAAATTGAGTCCATAGCAGTGACACGAGGACACCACATATTGTCTCTTGAGTGTGACTGCTTTGAAGGACAGTGCTTTGTACAAATATTCCAAGGAATATTTTGTTTAATCTGTGCATTGTTTTATATTTGTACATGTGTACTTAAAAAGTGAAAATTTATAAACTTTTAGAAACATTTGAGCATACCTATCCCCAGAGAATACAAGGTCTGCAAGCACAAATGACATCCCTGGGTAGAGTACTCCACCCAGGCAGCACCCAACATAGATCATCAATCCACAAAAACACTTTTGAGAAGGTTCTTTGCAAAATTCTATTCTGAGAATCTTGGGAATGATTTTAAAAAGTAACTTTAAAAGTCTACCATATTTTCATCAAATTAAAAAAAAAAAAAAAACATATGTCTCTTACACCATGTCTCTGTCACCATCTCCCACCTGTGAAATAGAGTCCAGGTCTTACCATCTCATACAAAAGGCTCGGGGAAGGCAAGCTTCTGGGAAAAACATCCTGGATGCCACAGATTCAAGTTAAAAAACATCCTGGATGCCACCGATTCAAGTTCTCACATGGCTTAAAAACAGGGACCGTTTCCTCTAGGTCTTTAGCTTAATTTTCCTTCAGCTATAGGTTCCCCAAAACACTACTCTGAACAGCTCCCTGCACCCTGTTTAAAAGACCAGCCGTATGGGGGAGAGCAGAGCAGGTGAAGGGTGGCTTTGTGTCTGCCTTAACTTTCATAGTCTAAACCTTTGCTAGTTGCAATATTCAATGACTATTCTGCAGTTATTATTTCTATAATTGATACTACTCATTTTTACAAGAAAAAAGTGTATCATTTCCATTTTCGTATAGTACAAAAGTAATGTAAATTCTGATTTAACAAACATTTGAAATTGAAGTATGCTAATGTCCCAAATTACCTTACTGTGAATATTATTGCAGAAATCTGCCAAAGCATAAGGAACCAAATTTGTATGAAAGGATATGAATATGAGCAATTAAGAATGTTTTAATTATGACGATTACATACTGGAATAAGCTGCATTAATCCTGTGGATATGACACCTACTGTATATGGAGAGTACACAAAATTTTCTCATTATATCATGTGATAATGTTATAGAACATACAAGATATAAAACATCCTCTTGTGCTTAATATTGGCTTTTAGATTTCCTGGCCCTGAGATTGAGTAAATAAATGCATGTCATTATACGTATAATTTTTCTGCCAAAAAAGTACTTGAATGTACAATGGGGACTCTCTCTTATTTTGAAAAATTGGTTATCTTCCAGGGCTGGCTTGGCAGAAAACTGGAAAACAGCATGTTAATGTAATGCTATTAATCCAAGTGCTAAATAGAAAATGTCCCAAGAGTCATGAAAAAAATGAATATTTGCATATCCTGTTTAAATATTTTTTTAAAAATACTTTACTGGAGGTCCTCGAGCTCCAACCTCTCCCAGTTCTCCCTGGTCACCTTCTTCACCCTGAGAAAAGAAAAAGCAGATGAACACAGAAACAGGCTCAGTCTAACTCAGTACATTTCAAATTCATTTGCCACCTCCAGAATTATTCCACTTTCTTAAGTTGTTTTCTTGCAAAGGTAGAGCATTCAAAAAATAGAGAAGTATGCAAAGAAATGAGTCACACAAATCCCACCAATTAACTATAAATACCAATCACATTAAAAGTTCCTTTCAAAGTTTTTCTAAAGAGAGGGAGAGAGGAAGACAGACCGAGACAAGATTTACGCCTTACAAGCATGTGTCTGGAAGGGGAGTAGATTATTTTTTAAAATGATCATATTATATAAAATATTCCACAGGCTACAATATTTTTAATTATAATTTTCATTTTAGTTTTTCTTGCTACAATTTTTTCCCACATATGATTTTTTAAGGCAGATCAGCCTTTTCTTTCATGGCTATCCCTTCGTGTCACTTTTCATTATAATTACTCTTATTATATTTTCCTAAACTTTTTAAAATTTATTTTTATTTTTTCTGATAATTCTTATCATGAGGGTACAATTAGGCCACCTTGCTTACATCGTGAGGCAAAGTCTAAGTTGGAGCTGAATCCCTCACACGGGAAGTGCACCATATACCCTCCCATGTTCCTGCTGGAAGGATCCCACTAATCTCCTCCCATTTTTAGAATCAACTGAGGTTTATAGCAGCCTAATTTATATTTGCAAAGATCTGAAAACCATTTACCCTCCAAGACATGACAGGATTAATAAACTGTGGTTCATGTATACCACGGAATACTATTCAGCTATAAGAAAAGATGAAGGTTGTGTATCCTTTGTTGCAACTTGGATGGACTGGCAGAACACTTCTGAGTGAAGTATCACAAATGAAAAGACAGGCGTCACAGGTACTCAGCAGGAACTTGAAATCTGTACATTAACAACACTGTGCTCACACGAGAGATGTTCCTGAACGTGCACTTTTCCAGATGAACTTTAGAACGACCAGGTAGATCTTCACAAAAGTACCACTTGCTTTTATTAGGACTACGTTAAACTAATGCATTAATACAGAGAAAATTAAAATCTTTATAAGAGTGAAACTTTCTATCTTGAAACTCAGTATATCTCCTAATTTAGTCAAATCTCTCTATTTTTATTTCCAACAATAAATTTTTGTTCCTTTCTTCATATCAGTCTTGAAATTTTATTTTATTTAGAGATATTTTGATTATTTGGTTGCTAGACCCATGGGGTCTATTTCCATGATATTTTTCTAACGATTGTTTTGACTTTCTGATGTTAAATCTATAACCTCTGATATATTGTATAATGTTAGAATATTTCAAAAAGAAGTTTGACTGCTGTCTCCTACAGGAAGGTTCATTTATGGACTCTGAAAAAAAGTCATTTTCTCTCTGATAAGGATTTTACCTCTTAATAACAGATACACTACTCTACATTTTCTACAGTAATAGGTATCTTAAATTGTGAAGTTAATTATAAGAAAAATACATCATGTTTTTGTTTTGTTTTGCTTAGAGATTGGGGGGAGGGGTAATCACTCTATTGCCCAAACCTGGAATGCAATGGCTGGATCACAGCTCACTGTAGCCTTGACCGCCTGGGTCAACCAACTTTCCCACCTGAGCCTCCTCAGTTTGCTGGAACTACAGAAGTGCACCCTCACACCAGGATTTTTTTTTTTTTTAAGAGATGGAGCCCTGCTATGATGCACAGGCTGGTTTAGAACCTCTGGCCTCAGGCAATCCTCCTGCCTCAGCCTCCCAAAGTGCTGGGATTACAGGCATGAGCTACCACACCCAGCCTATTTTTAATATTATACACAGAATATTAAATTAGTTTTTATTCTTTCTTTATCATTCAATGCATAAATTTTCTTGCTCCACAGGCCTTATATATTTAGAAATATTCACAAAAGAAGGAAATACTATAGTATAAAAAATTTAACAGCATTATTAACACAGAACTTTTGGGCATACAACACAAAGAACTATGCTATGCTTGTATCATTTATAGTCGCGTTTTAACTGAATTCAGAGAGTCTTATAAATTGGTTTTAGTCACATAATTATATTTGGATTATGTTCCATTAGAAGCTGTGATTGACAGTGGGAAGAGGCAGTCACAATGGGAAAGACAATGAATTAGCCAGTCCATGGAGTGGATAATCACCACATGGGCATAATTAAATACTACTTGTATTTCCTTATGAAACTCTAAAACTAGCTATGGAAACAACAGTGATTGATATGTTTATTAGAATTTTTTAATAGCAGGGTTTAGGGTGTTTCTCCACAAACCTTGGAGTAATATATTTGAATATTTCACCTGCAGATGAAAAGCACACAACTAATCAATAACCAGGATTTTAAATCACAAACTTAGGAGGAGCAATTTATTATCACTTTGCTGAAAGAATTTTACATGAACACGCATCTGCTGTAGGATATTGCCAGTGCCACAACATTTTAATTATAGAAATTATATTATTCATTCTTATATTCACAACAATCCTTAAACTCTTCACTAACTAATTTGCAAAGTAAATGCAAAATCGTGACCATAAATACAAACTTTAGGCCACCAGGCTTTTTATCGTTCTGTTTTCAATTTAGGTTCAGTCCATCTGTCAGCCCTTCCAAGGTCCGTTCTTCAGCAAGCTCTGTCATCTTCTCTATTTTCAAAGATATCACTTAACGTTTCAAGTGACACAAAAATGCGAAATAAATTAAAGAAATTTTTTCAACAACTTTCATTGAAAACTTTGGCCAATTACCTGATACACCAAGAAATTTTCAGGTTTCCTACTAAAGACCAAATCAAATTGGAGAGTCCAGGTAACTCATTTGTATAGATGTAAAAATACGAGTTTCATGTGGAGAATGGAGAGAGACGCTGATTGACAGCTCCACCCCCAAATCCTATGGGGTGGGGCAGTGGAAGTTTCCCGAAAGAAAGGGTCTCCAAAAAAGAAAGGGGTGCAGAACGTCAAAAATAACAGAATTTTACTATGTACATTACCTCACGGATTTCTTTTGATGTAATTTCATATTCTTACTCACCTGTTGTTTTGGGGTTTTTTTAGTTAGCTAATATTCTATCATATGGATTTTCAATTTAGCCACTTCCCTGTGATTAAATGTGTGTTTCACTGTGTGCCCCCAGCATTTAAAATCAATCCTGGTACACAGCAGGTATTTAATAACTATTTGCTAAATTTTTTAATTATAAACTTTGAGATTCAATGGGAGAATGGATACCCAGAGAAATTTCCAAAGTACTTGATTTCTTTCTTTTTTTTTTCTCCAGTTTGACATCAGGCCTCCAGCTGTTATATTCCAGATACACAAAATTCTTTAACTATTCACAGCCTCCATGATAAAAGACTTTTAAAATAAATGTCCAAACTGTAATAGTGTACAGAAAATTGGCCTATTTATTCTGATTATGGAGGTTATTCAACAGACTGATTTTAGCTAAAGAGTTCAGGATATTAACACGTGAAGACATTGATAAATCGCCTCTCCAGCTCTTGACTTTCAAAGAAAAAGACTAATCTTCTGCTTCTACCCTACAAAGGGCTCAGAGGACACAGTCAACAAAGTCAAGAGGACCTGCATTTTCAATAAGAAAAGTATGACTTTGTGAAATGTTATAAAATTCACTGAGACAAAAATTCTACTATGCAGAAAATTAAATACTTAGATACTTAAAAATGACTTAGCTTAGTAGCTATAAAAAGGGCAAATCGATGACGTTGCTTTAAATTGTGACCTAGGATTTCTGGCAGGACATCCCCACCCCAACACAAGTTGTGCCATGGATCCCATGTTTCCATCCAGATAATAAGTTTTTGCTAACCTCCAGCTTACTCAAAATCTAGGTTAGATTGAAATGAGGTCAGACATAAACAGATCAATTATTTCAGAACTTGAGATGAGAGGCGATAGGCCAATTACCAGCTTCTCTGTTTGCTAGTCTCAGCAATGCTTGTCATAAAATTTTACAAATGCCATAAAATTTTGTCTGGCAGGGAGGAACAACTAGCTGACTAATGTTGGAGTATCACAAGCTTCGGGGGAGAAGGCTGAGTGTGATTGATTTAAGAAGGAAAGAAGGGGGAGCAGCAGGAAGAACTGAAAATGCCTGGTGTTTTTCCTGCAGGTGTTTTTTTTATAACTGAACAACTTTAGTCTATTATGTTGAGATTAATGCATCTGTCATTAGCAAGTATTATTTGAAAAAGGAGGGTGAAATATAATGCTTTATCATTATTATCATTATCTCTTATAATTCCTTGTATTGAAAGTGGTCACTACCTCATAATCACAATTTACCCGACACATACTCATTTTTTTACCTTGTGTCCTTGTCTTCCTGGTTCGCCAATTTCTCCTTTAGCCCCTTTATGACCCTAAGAAATGCAAAATATATATGTATAAATTGTCAGGTTTGTCACAGAAAATAGTCGAGAGGCTCACAAGGGATCCTGTTTCCCTAAATTGGTGTCAAGAAGAACAAGGTTATGTCACAAAGAAAATGACTGCTTGAAATGACCTTAATAGCACCATGTGTATTAAGGGACTGCTGTATATAATAAATGTGCTTTAGTTAACAGGAAAATGCTGTTCTAAAATAGCAAACACTCCATTACCTACTTCAGCAACACAATTCATTGACACTTGCCTGCTGTTCCCCAGACCCCCATTTCCCCCAACTTCCTCCGCAGTTGGGTTAAGAACAGTAAGTCTTCTCCTACTCTGGTAACTAACCGGATCAGAAGGGACAGCCCTGATCTTGCCAGACTGGCCTCTGCTCTCTGAAGCCTGCTCTGAAAACTCTCCCTCTAGGCCAGTGGTTCTCAACCTTCCTAATGCTGTGGCCCTTTGTTCCTGTGGGTCACGACCCACAGGTTGAGAACTGCTGCTCTAGGACCACCTCTGTCCTGGGGTAGAGGAAAGTTCAGGGCAGAGGACTTCCTCAGGTGCACAACTCCAGGCCTCTTCCTAAAGCAATAAAGGGCAGTTAAGTAAAAGCCTCATAGCATGAAAAGAAGATCCCTAACTGTTTCATCAGGCCACCTGTCCTAAGCACTTGTGGTTTGGGGCAGTGATGTGAGGCCAACTGTGAAACAAACATTCCAAAATTCAGTCTGTCAGAACTTTCACCCCCAAAGTCTTTCTGAAAAACAAGACACCAATCCAGGCCCAGATCTTCCCTCAGAGAAACATTAGGTACTAACAGAGCCTGGGCGCCTTTCCGATCACTGCAGAAATCCACTGGTCTGGAATTGGTCTGGCATTTCTCAAAGGCACTTCAGATTCAGAGACCAGAAAGAGAGAAAGCGATTTATCCCCAGGGTTTGGTATTTAGTTTTTGTTTTTACGGAAAATTTCAAAGTCAATTATGATGGCAGAGTAAAAGAAAAATGGTTTTTGAAAAGTCTCTTTTCCTGCCTACTTTTTATAGTCTGATGTTTCTGTTCAACTGAAACAGTTTCAAATACATTGTGTACCCAATCATACACACACACACACCGCCATCTCCCTTCAGAAGGGGCAAACTTCTAAACCTTGATTAGATGTTCTACAGTCTCTCAGCCCACCCTCACCGTGCTGTCCTGGTACTTCTTCCCTGAACTACAAAGGCATTATATGTAATTAACATCAGTGTCTCAGGCCCAGTACCTGTCCGGGGCACCAGCACAATCTCTAGGACTGAATAAGCCACAGAAAACCAAGCACAGCCTTGACTGATCCATCCAAGTAGGGCCTTTCTACCAGGAAAACCCATGCTTAAAGGATCCATTACTCTACTTTATGTGGCTAATATTCTAGAAAATAAAATGCTGAAATTATTCTCTTACCCTCATGCCTGGTATGCCTGGATATCCTGAGCGAGCGGGTGGGCAGGAATTGGGGCACTGCCAGAGAGAGAGAGAGAGATGAGTGTATAAACAAACTCAGGCCCCCACTTTGTGAGTTGGTGCCTTTTTTTAAGGATTCCAGCTACAGAACCCCAATGCAATTATATTCATTAAATAACTCTAAATACCCCTTTTCTTTTTTATCATTTCATGTTTGACTCAGAAATATTTCCAGCTGACAGAAAGGTGTAGAGAAAATAACAAACACCCTCCTCTGTGTATCTATCACCCAGGTTTCATACACGTTAACATTTTGCCATATTTATCCCAGATCTAATTTATGAAAGAAATGAAATGTTTACAGACAACCTAACGTACTGGGACCTGATCCATTTGCCCCCCCCCCCACCACCACCACTGGAATAGCTCTGTGCTGAATCTCTCGGTTCCTCATCCACTGGGCCCTGCATTGACTGCCGTTTGCCATCATTTGACTATTAACCTGTGACTAAAACAAAGCTTAGGAGGAGTTGTGTGACTCTACCTCTTTAAAATTGCCATGCTCTAGTGAAAAGCATGCCTTCGTCATAAAGTAAAAAATGTTATATAAAAACAAAGATACTTCCTCAATGAAAAACCATCCTAGTCTGAGTACATACAAGCAACCAGTCCATCAGTGTGACCATTGCTCTGCCACTCATAAAACACAAAAGCACAGTATCTTCCAGAGGGCTCTTTTAAAAAGACTACAAGGTCTTTGAATTAAAACGACTTTGTTCAAAGGAAAACATCTTACCAGTGGATCTCCGTCATGAAAGCCAATTGTTCCCTAAAGTAAATAAAATGTTACAGGTCAGAATATAATTAAATAACTGATTCAACCCTACTAACAATAGAAAGTTTATGGGGAAAAAATAATATATTTGTTTAATAATTTATTTATGATTATTTTTTCTTCTTGAGACAGAGTCTCACTCTGTCACCCTGGGTAGAGTGCTGTGGCATCATCGCAACTCACAGCAACCTCAAACTCTTGAGCTCAAGAGTAGCTGAGAATATAGGTGTCCTCCACAAACACCTGGGTAGATTTTTTTTTCTCTATTTTTTTTTAAATATATATATATATATATATTTTTTTTTTTTTTTATTGAATGGTAACTGTGTACATTGATGCACTTTGGGGGTACAGTGTGGTGTTTTCACGCAATCCATGACATTTCCATCAAACTGGTTAACATAGCCTTCATGTAACTTTCTTAGTTATTATGTCAAAACATTCATATTCTACTCACACTCTTGCTCAGGCTGGTCTTGAACTCCTGAGCTAAAGCCATCCACCTGCCTCAGCCTCCCAAAGTGCTAGGATTACAGGTCTGAGCCACTGCGTCCAGCTTTGTTTAAAAACTTATAAGGAACAATAGGAGCATATGATACACTTGTGCTAATATTCTAACAACTTGACTCCTGGCATATTCTTTTTAGACAACTACAAATTACAGTACATTATTTCTTTGGGGGCAAAGAAGAAAATAAGAGGCAAAGCAGAAAATATGTGGAACTCTGAATCATACATTAAAAATATGTAGTATCTCCCCCTTAAACTCCTATTTTTTAAATTTCTTATTATAAAGACCATTGTAAAAACGAGTTCATTCAAAAATCTTTCTTTTACGTGTCAAAGTTTCCAGCATTCGTGAAATCACAAGTAGCAAAGGACTTCAAATGGAATGAGTAAGACCTGTCTTGTAAAAATTACCTTTTAAATTATTGTAATTTCTCTACTTTTCTAGCCTGAAAAGAAACATGTTCTAAATGGATAAAAAAAAATAACCATTTTGGAAAATTGAAACAATGACTCGATTAACAAGCACTTCCATTTGGGGTTCTTAGATTTTTTTTTCCTTGATTTCCAGCTCTCAGATACAAAGAGAAACTCAAGATGCAAGGAACTTACACTAGGTCCTGGGGGGCCTGGGGGGCCAGGTGGTCCTCTTCTCCCAGGGTCACCCTAAGTTATTTGAAAATCGTGACATGGTGGTTATACATATGTCAAAACACAGTACATAAAACTAGTGAGGCATGAGAGAATGGTGTTACTAGAAACCCCTACTGAGCTCAGCCGTGCGTAGACCTGCCACCAAAATCGACGGGTGGCCCATAATCCAGTTAGTTCTACAAACCCAGAATAACAAAGGCACTCCAGTCTCAGCAAGTAATAAAATAAGGTAGAAGGAGACAAGGAGGAAAGGCAAAGCCAATTCCTTTCCGTAGGATGATCACGCTATCTACGCTGCAAACAAAATGGAAACACTATTTTTCTACTTGATTTACAGAGGACCCAGAGCAGTGAATGCTGCCAGTGCCATTCAGCTAGTGAGAGCAAAAGAAGGCTTGCACTCAGCCCAAGAAGGCTTGCACTCAGCTCAGGAAAGCTTGCACTCAGCTCAGGAAAGCTTGCACTCAGCCCAAGAAGGCTTG